GGCTGGGGGTGGGACGGGCCCTGGCTGCCGGGCCCTGCCATGACTGACCCTGGCAGTCCTGGTGCCTGGCGGTGCCCTGACAGGAGCCAGCCCAGGACCCCTTAGGACACCGTGCACGGATCACAAATCTGCTAATGACTGTCACAGGCAGAGGTGTGGTTGCTAGTGCAAGTCCACCCCGAGTGGGACGTGGGTGGCTTGACCAGCTCCAAGCACTGATGTAAATCCATCCCATGTAGAAACAGAAGTTGCATTTACTCCGGTCATCTGCTCCATTATTTGCTGTGATCCCCACCACCTGCGTGAGTTTTTTTCCACAACCGCCTGTTTGTTGCTAAAAAGACTTGTGCAGAAACAGTTTTCTTGGGGAAGGGGCACTGTACGTATGTGTGCAAGCTGGTTGAAATGCTGCAGGCTCAGCAAAATTTCTCCCTGAATGTCAGCCCCTCGCAATGCTTCCCAGCACAGAAAAGGCTTTAGATCCTTTTGCCCGTGTCAGCACCATCTCTGCGATTGCCTTTTTTAGTTCATTTTAAGAGTAAACAAAACCAACGTGCATGAAATTACCCCCCAGCGTGGAAGACCAGTGCCATGTGAGGCGGCAGGGAACAGCTTCTGCAGTTTCGACACGTGCTGCTTTTCCCACCATTCACAGCAAACGATGCCCGGGGACAGGCTGCCATCCCACCGCACATGAGACAAATGCAGTTTTTCATTTTCCTGACGCGCTGGTTACCGGAAGTTTTGTTCATTAAAAAAAAAGAGAAAAACGAACAGCAGATCTCGGATATCTCTTTGCATGTGAAGGCTGACTTGAAATGAAAAGTAGTGAGAAGACTTAAATAAAATAACTCTAGCCCGTAAGATATCTAGCCTGAGTTAATGACAGCTGATTTTCTTAGTACTCCAGTACTACGATCACACTCTCTTCTCCAGATAAAAGCAACAGAGCTTCATAAGAAAAGACAACTCACCTTTCTTGAACTGCTAGTGCTTTTAGCATTAGGTAGAGGAGATAATTTTCTGGTTGAGATGAAAGACAGAGAGTTGAACAAAGGTTTCTTACCGTTAAGGACAATGCCATGCAAACAAAAGTGAACTTCTTGATATGTGTTGCTGTGACGGTGCTGTTGGTGTTCACCAATTTATTGCTGGGGTTATTCTAGGGTGAGAGAAAGAGATAACGAGCATTAGCTTGGCTCCAGACAAGCAGGAGGCTGACGGCACCAGGATCATGTGTTGGATCGGACTGTCTGTGCGCGTGCATGTCTGTCTTTGCTTGTTTGCTTTTTAACCTAGAGCTTTCTGAGTACTTTGTACCACCACAGAATATTTTCCACTTAAACTGACAGCAACTGCTCCTATGGTCACTGAGGGCTGAGTAATCTCCCTACTTTTCTAAGGAATAAGTCCTATTTAATAAATTCAGCTTTGAAAAAGGGTGGTAGCTCTTTCTAAGGAAACTCCACGTGATTTTTTTTACCTTAGTTTAAAGTTTGTAGCATGTTTTCACAGGAAAAATAGGATTCCATTCCTTTTTACCACAGAGTGGTACCGAATCCATATGCCAATGCAAGCATCCTTACTGATCCAATTAGACAAGTAGGTAATATAAACAAAGCTCCTGGAACAGCTCGCTCCGTTAATGCAGTTTAATGAACAGAACATAATTAGGACTATTAGATGTTCCACCTTGAACATGGGCTCTGTACTCACATGGCAGCGAAGTTTTGTTTAAAACAACAACAAAAGCCCTCTTCCAAATGTCTAATATAGCAAATGAAGCTGAAGATTTAAAATTGCCCTTAGGGAACACATAAAAACAAACTAAATGGTCTGTGAAAGGAGAGGATGGGATATCAAAAGCAGGGCACCATTAGGAGCCCTGTAGCAATAGGCTGTGGTGTCATCTATTGCATTTACCCTGGGGCTGTTTGAGATACACAAGTATGTGCCCACGCTGATAAAACCTATACCATAAGATGTAGTACAACATTTATTCATCCTTGATGTAACTCAGGTAGAACAGCAGTATTTGTCACACAGTCAGCCTCCTTTACTGAAGTTACTCGTAAGAGAAATAGGAACTTATGCAAACACATCTTGGGAGTGGACAAACTGAACGTGAGCTCCGTGAAGGGTACACCATTTCACACACATTCAAGTAGTTGATGGAATTTTGCAGTTAAAAGCTTCTGTGGTGATCAATGCAGCGACAGCACCTGGACAGCCCCACGCTCCTGCCTAAATATCTGCTTGGAAGTTTGGGTGCATGAAGATGCATGTAGGCAACCCAGACCCTAAAGCAGAAAGCTACTCCCACATCTGCCCTTTTTGGGAACAGGTTATGAAAACTCTCTGTAAACATTTTTTCACGCATCTATTCTTATTTCTTGTGTTTCTGAAGAAATACTTTGTTACTGTTATTTTTTATATATGTGAGGATGGGCCTTGCTTACATTGCTCACCAGTGTTTAAATGAACTCTGCTGCACGGCTCAACTTTCTAACAAGGCTGAAATAACAGAGAGGAAGGAAAGCACACCCAAATCAAGCCATCCAAAAGGACTATGAAGAAAAAGGGCTCTCGTTTGTTCCTACCTCGCTGCTGCTAACTCTGCCCTTGCTCTACTCCGCCCTTTGCTCTAACTCTTGACCACATGCTCTTCATTCCTATCTCTTGCACACATTTAGTTCTTGGGTCAAAACACTATGCAGATTATGGAGCAAAAAGAGTATCCATTCCCATCTATTAATCAGATAAATAGTGTTCACAAGTCTTCTCACAGTCAGTGTTGCTGCTCTGAATCAGACAGCACAGTCTATTAAGAGTAAGGGCATTATCACCATATAAAACAGCAAACAGAGCACGGAAGTAGGAATTGCCTGTTTTCTTTCAGAAAATCAGTAGTAACCCTTAACCTGATGTAACTGCTAGGCCATGAGGTTGCTCTGGACATAGAGTCTCATGAACGACTGAAGCAGGGTGCTGCATCTCTCTTACAAACGTGAACAGAGGTAATGACTTCCCAGTGAAGACAAGAACCTGACTTCTCCAGTAGAGCCACTGAAGAGGGGCACACTGTCTGGATCCCAAATCCCATCAGTCAGTTAAGGCAATGCAGTGTGCTTCTGATGGCCATCAGCATTGCCAGCTTTCTGAGTAACTGACAAAAGAAAATGGGAGTTTGCATGCATGCAAACTGTTTCAGCATCTGAAAATCACAATGGAGGCTTTACAGAGTCCGGAAATAAAAAGTGCTTCTATCTGGACTCTTCTGAGAAAGCCTTAGCTTAAGGAAACAAAGCTTTTGAAAGGCACGGTGACACGCGAATGACGTGTGACCGAGGGTAAAGCAATTCTCACAGCAATCTAAAAAAAACCACTGTGGGTTTCTGGTTTGGTATTTATTGTCTGAAAGGTACGGTGGAGGCATTTGCACACATGGTTGCCAGGATGAGATACCCTTTATACTGTTGCTACCTCACTTAGCACATTTTATGCCAAACTGCTCTTAAAACATGCAACTAAAATCCCCATTATATACTTTTTTGGCAAAAAAATGAGACAAACTGTACCTATCTGTGCCTTACCCTAGCTTTTTCTTCCTTACATTCGTTCCACAAGAGATCTGTGAGAAGCCTTTTAACTGAAATAAACAAACAGACAAATCATGGTCTAATCCTGTCACCACTAAAGTTGTCAGCACATCTTCCACCAGCTAAATGAGACCTGAATTTAGGAGTCTTAATTGCTGTTAATTTTGCTTGGCAACAATGCATTTCATTGTGGCTCATAACAGATGAGGTTAGGAGCCCCTGTGTTTCCTGTCCCAAACCATTTTTATCTTGCAGTTTATTGGTTTTGCATCTGCAGTTCCTTTTCAGCAGCATGACCTCTGAGAAAGCCTGCATGTTGTATTTTATCCAACAGGTCAATTTAGCTGTACATAGGCAGGTTGGGAAGTTATGACTGATTTGACTTTTCTTTGTTTTGTTTTTAAATTCTTCTTGGAAATATGGTGGATCATATCAAACAGGGCTTGCTTCAGTTACGTACACCCCTAAGCAAGCAAACATATTTTTCATCAGTATTTGGAACCAGAAAGTTCAGTTACTAACTGGTAAATAAAGGGAAGGAGATGATCTGGCATTTGAATTAGAGTGTCACAGGACATGACTGTTCTTCACACAACATATGGGCTAGTGAGTACCAGTTTTAAAACAGAGCAAAAAAAAAGAGTCTAAACAAAATTAATTTTGGTTATATATTTACTCTGTGCTCAGTTCCACAAGCAGTCCTTGCATTCTTACATAATTACATGATTTGCCAACAAAAATCGTCATAGTCTTGGCCAGCTAAGTCAGTACTACTAAAATAATGTATGTTATCTGTATTACTGTCAGTCTATGAAACAACCTTTGCTAAATATTAACATCAGCAAATGAACCCAAACCCATTTGAGAGATACCGCAGAATCTGGAGCAGAGACGTGAGCTTGCTCATTCACTGATGGACACTTTGTGAGAAATCACTTCATTAGCTAAGTAGCTACATCATAGTAACTAAGTGAGGACTTTTTTTAATCCTTAAAAATACAGCACCTATCTGTCAAAAAGGTAGCTTAATACCTTGTAACACAGAGCTAAGGTTAAAATCATAAATCACACAACAGCTTGAAGCCACCAAAAACCTATTCATTTTAACTAGGGTTTTAAGAAAACCTTATCAATGGGACAAGGGACAATAGGCATCAAAAGCAAAAGTAAAGAGAAGCAAGACAACAGATGGCCATTAATACAGCCCTATTTAATCTTTGGTTGGTTTATTTGTTAAAGAATCTGTTACACTTCATTACGGAGCCACGAACTAACTTTCTTCATATTTGTTTGGCAGAAATTCCTCTGACATCACTGAAGCCACCCCTAAATTATAACGTTGTAACAGAGAGAAAGCGGAGGACGCACATGTGAAACCACATGAAAGGTACTTATTACACCCCTAACACAGGCACTCACCTTGTCAAAAGCAGGGTATACTGCTCTGATCTCTGTCAGCCAGCCATACGGCATGTGTCCCACAGGATACGTAGCTGTCAGAATCGCCACCGCCTATGAAAAGAGACAGGGAAACATGAACTTCAAGTCTGTGAAGAGAACAGTTAAACTAACATAGGGTGCCATTTCTCACCAATATCACCACATTGACCTTGACACAGTGAGAAACCAGGCAGGCGACTGGAAGCTCTTTGTTTCAGCAAGACCGTCAGAGTGGCCATCACTTGGCCCAGCGTTTTAAGCTTACGAAATCTTTCGTGCTATGAAGCTACGTTACCCGGCTTTGTCGTTTCACCATCACTCTGATACTTTGGGATAATAGTTAACTTGAGCTGGTGTGTGTCCCTCAGCCAGCTGAATACCTCCCTCCCACATTGCTCCTGAGTTATTTTACCTACAGATACCCGAGTAGCAGAATGCCTTACAACTCACTGTAGCTTTGCACCATATTTCATAATTTTAATCTATGTACATTTTACTTGGTTATTCGTAAGTAAAACAGTTTTAAGTAAGACAGACAGACTACAAAACAGGCCTCAGTGGCTGACTGACTTCAGACATCAAACTGACTGCTCTGGGGCACGAGGCACTTATGAGACAAAAAAACGCCCTCCCTCCACTTTGGTGCTCATCAACGAAAACCAGACTAAAATAATTCCAGATGACCATTTTTTATCATGAGAAACAACTCACTGCCTGCAATTTAAAACTAGGCCCTTTTGCACTTTCACAAATACAGTCCAAGAGGTACATCAAAGACATACCCCCCCCATATTAATGTATGAAAGATTTTGGTGATGTTTCTGATTTCTGAAGAAAAAGTCCAAATACATGTACTTCAAGTCGTTCATGTAGGAAGGGTGTTTAGGGAGCTCTTCCTGCAGCTGCTTGGAAATCTACTGTCACCCCAAGTTTTCTAGTCCTCAGAGCTGAAGTGTGCATCTGTACTGAGAATTGCCTGACTCTCTTAATTCCAAAAATCCAAGTGTTTGACTGCCTTTTGTCTGCAGGTTCAGATCTGTTACAATCCACCTAAATTCAGATGCATTTTACATCTGCCAATGATAGCGTTAAGAAAGACCTTTTCTAACTACTGCTGTCTCTGTTTCACTCCTAAACTTTTGATGTACATTTTCTTGGTTATCTGAGCCCATTTTCCCATTATAAATGTTAATTGCTGGCCTTGCTTGGTTAAAAGACCTATACAAATATAGGACCATGCAGCAAGCTAATTTGGTCCTTGTGCTGTTTAAAAAGAGGGGGGAAAGTAGTGATATCCACAGAGAGGAAGAGAGTGGGATAGATTGTTCTCTTCTAATAGTAGCTTTAATAATGTTTAATGTACCTTGAAAAAGTAATTGGTTCAAAGAAAACAAATTGGAATTTTAGGACAGTACCCTTTTTAATTGCAATCCCCCCATTATTGTATTTTCAGCAGAATTTCCATCTGTATGAAACCTAACTAAGTTAAATCAAATAAGGAATATAAAAGATATTTTGCTTATTTTCACGATGAAGTCCAAAAAGACTGCAAAGACATAGTAACTGTTAAAGAAAACAGTATTTCACTACCACATTTTGTATGCTAGATTCCACTTGGATTAAATTATTGAAGTTTTTAGCAGTGATTTTTCTTCCAGTATTTTTCCTCAATTGCTGGGATCCCAAAATACGTGCATGAAAGCTTTCCTAAATGTTAGAACCTGTATTTGACAACTGAAAAAGTCCCCCATCAAAGCCAACACCAAAAAAGGTACCCCAATCACCATAACTGTGCTGGCAGTCCAAACAAAAGCAGTGGGAGCTGGCCAATGCAAGTGGACTTGCTGTCCTCATGAACATCCCTTCACAGGGACATCCTGCCCACACTGAAAGTTGATGATATTTTTGAACAGGGGACCTATAAAACTCCTGTGTATACTGATGCTCCAGACAGTGATGTTATCTGTGTTGCCAGCATCTCCCTTTTCAAAGGCAATTATTCCAGAAATCAGAGAAAGTTGAAATGTGACCGTTACTGTTAGTGTAAAAAGGCCAGCAAACCACCAGCTATGACATGTATTTGGAGTCATCCTAATAGCAACAAAATGCAATTGGCTAGCCATGAAATGTGATGCATCTAAAATCAGAAGTCCCCAAGAAATGCCAAACTGATCTCTGCTAACCTGCTCTGGCTCCCCTTCTGCTGAGACTGCTATTAACGCATAGGCTGATCCCCGATTTACACATGTAAAAGCGTTACGTTTCCTAAATTCTTTCTCCATAGCTGTTTATTTGCAGTCACTGGCAACTCCTGAGCGAGTGAAATACACAGTATCACGTATGACAAATTAGCAGTGCTGAGAGAACATTTGTTAGGCATCAGCTGTTTGAATTTTCCTTTCCATTTAGTATCTTACAGCTTTGTTTTTCCTGTAGAAAAAACATGAGAGATTTGCTAATGACTACGTGGATCTAGGCATCCTCCCACTGAAACTGGCAGCAAAGGTCCCCCAGACTTCTTAAGAGAATAGGTCAGCTCATGGTGAGCACTGGTGAAGGCTCTGCATTACAATCCGAAGTCCGGCTCTCACCAGCTGTAAGAGATATTGGAGTAATCTGAAATTCCTCAAGAGAAACAGGGTGCATTTCATACCTCAACCAGGAGACAGGTTTTTTTTATGTATGTGCTTCCTTACATCTCTACCCTATCTATTCTGTGTGATGCACTGACTGCTAACAGTAGTTTCACATCAGTTTGCACAGCCATAAATTTACATGACAGGAAACAGCGAAACATGGGATTACTGACGACTGTCCTAAAATCTCTGGGATCTGAATGCTCCAGAGCATATGTACCTATATGTAGAGCATGAAAACCTGGGACACAGGAACTGTTCAGTGAAAAAGTTCTACTGGTCTTATTGAGAGTGAGGTCCTACTAGGCCTGGCAGAAACATTCATGGTAAGAGTCCAGGCAGTCTTCTTTTCAAGGATAAGGAGAACACTAAACAAAAATGTACTTAAGACAATTTTTTCTTGTCAGCACGGCTGAGAAGAGAAACACAGAGGTAACTCCATGTAAATGATCGTTTGCAGTAATGCAGAGCACTGATTTTCTTACCTCTGTGGCTGCAGAACTGCCACCTAGGTCCCGGGAGACAAAAAGGTTGACAATGGGCCTACTTATTCGCTGAGTTGCCAAAATTAATGCCAAAGGCCACCAGAAACTCAGCATCTTCCTTATTGTAGCCTCTCCCTGCAACACATAGGAAAAAATAAAAAAAAGAACTGGATTTGGAAAAAAACATGCAGAACTGAACCAAAAGCACAGATAAAGGATTTTTGCTTTTCCCACCCATTGTCAGTTTGGTACATTCATTTCAATAGTTTTCAAGATGAGGAGCCTAAAGTATTTCCACTCATATTAGTAATACTGATTCAAAAGAAGCTGTGTCATGGATCTCAATAAATAATGCATAAGGTATCTATCTGCATAATTTGTTCTGGCTACCAGACAAAGATATGTGAAAACCAATATGACATTTGAGGAAAAAGAGGGATTTTGAGACCTTCTTCCCTGTGAAATAAGGTGTCCACTTAGTTCATGCTGTGCTGTCTTACAGCTCAGTACAGAGCTCAGTACAGAGGTGCTCGGTAGACAGCACATCCATAGCACGGGAAGCATTGCCTCATGTGCACTGCTGCTGGAATAGTTTCTATCATGCCTCCTTAAGTGAAAATGTTTTTTCCTGCAGGACGGAGAAAGGAGGTCCTTCATGCACGGTGGTTTAATACAGTATTATAACACAAAAGGCAAGTTTAAAATTACTGAATTTGAAAAAGCGCAAAGGATTAAGACATACTCCCATTTCAGGCCCACTTCTGTCAGGGATGACATCATGTATATTCCTGTAGTATCCGAGGCATAACGTGGTACATCGGACAAGTGCTCCCATGTATAAGGACAAGATTGGGATCAAGAGAGGCTCCCTGCACTCCAAGTGACTGTGAAGCAAAATGGCTACAAAAACAACCTGCAGGGCAAACAAATAAATGATTAATAATTTGTCTGTGTGTTTCTTTAGGGCCAACATATCTCCTGTCTGACTCCAAGCTAGTCCATCTGAACCAACAACCGTGCGTGACTACAGTATCTACCTGACTTCAAGCTTGCGGCATTGAAACTTTAGTCAGGACCCCCCTGCATTCAGTCATACAAATGAGAAGAACAAGAGTTAACATCATACAGAAGCTCTATTAAACAGTACTTGAAGGTATGGGCAGGTGTCAGACTAGGAGCCATAAATAGGAGAAAGTTAGCATGAAAGTCTGGCAAGGTCTGGCAGCAAACATGTGGCTGAGTGTCACCCTTCCCAGGAGAATGTGCTATTCTGATATGCACTGAGGCTGGAGACATGCTTCTAGGGTCAGCTTCTAAGCCCTACTGTTTTTTTTTTTTTTGGGGGGGGAGGCAGTGGCAATTAAAAACCCAGATGTTTTGAAGTATTCACTTCAGCATTTAGAAGCAGGAAATCTTATGTCATCCTAATTTTCTACTTTTTTGAGTGAAATTTCAGTATTTCATCATTCTCTCTTCAGCTATCTGAGTGCCACATTGATGTAAATGAAATGGAAACTTTTGGGCTAATGAACAGCTCATAATTCAGTCCTGTAAGATTAAATGCTCAATCCAGAAAATGCAAAGGAATTGATTAATATGATATTATTCTCTTCATTAAGTACAGGGCTGATGGTGTGCCTGTTAAATTCCAAATGCCTCTGGATGGGGGGCGCAACTAGAAAGTCAACTGCGTTTGGTGCTGTGAACAGCAGAATCAAGGACAACCCTGCTGGGACATGCTGGCATTCAAGTGAGTTACAAGAAATACAAAACACATTGTTCAGGGGCAGGTTCTTTCCTTCATTGCTAGAGCTCAAGAAATATGTAAGAAAAATCACGCTGTGTAAATGTTTATTAGGCAGGCCACGCTGTTTATGAGGGTTTGCAAAACTGCTCTTTTGAACCCTACAAAAGAATTGTTTTTCAGTAAACAGAAGCAAAGTCAGTCACAAAAAGTGTGTATATTAAGCTACCCAAGGAGAATTAGCTACTGCCTGCGCACCTATTGCTTGTGTAGGGAGCAGATGTATGTGTAGAGAGTTCTGGGGTACGGAGAATCACAACTTTTTGTCTTCCAGATTTGCTCTTGCTCTGTGCAATATTTTGTTGAGAGACAGGTGTCTTATTCTTCACAACCCTGTCACCCCACTCACCAACCACTGTGGAAAGGGCATGTGTACCATGGCCAAAATAAGAATTTGTTTCTGTATTTAGCTGTTTATGACCCGACATGGATCTAGGGTCAGCAAACTTTGCAGGTCACAGCAGAACAGAGCAGATCCTGAGGGTTAAGATAATTTACAGTAATTGGTATTATCTTCAGGGATTTAGTGCAGTACTGTAGAGGGGCAGATCTGCCAAACATAGAATAGCAGCTGACTGAATGGTTCAACCTGGTTTATGGTTTGCTCATATTCAGTGGGAGGAAAATGCTATGGAAAATTGAACTAAGTGCCGTTGACTTCCTATTTCCTTTGATGTTGTACTGTTATTATCCTCTTTCTTACCCAGTCATTACACCATTCAGCTGGTAATGGGGCAGTACAGCAATTGTTTTACAGGTGCTGGGACTCTCCATTTTGTAGTATTTTTATACATGCTTTGAAAAGAGGGTTGTATAATGGTTCTCAAATGCTACAACACTGGCCATGAGCAATATGTATGAATATTGTTTTTTAAGTGTGTATAGTACAAAGCAACAGGATAGTCAACACCTCCTTCACAAATGAAAGTTCAAACAACATTTGGTCTTCTCTGCATCACCCAGGGGCTATCACCACAGATCCCTTCTGCTGCAGTTCTGAGCCCTTACCTTTTGGACCAGTAACAAAACCAGTGCCATACTGGCACTCAGAAGACGGCTTACACTACTGCATTTCACTGGATTAGCATGTGCAAAACTGACAGGTGAACTGGAGAATCAAGCCTTCACTTCCCCACCTACAAGCCCCACTCAGGACTTCAGTGCAACTGTGCAAAGTGTAGGGGAGAATACACAGGGGGAAGAAAGGTCTCTTTCAAAGCACTCCATCAGCCTCAGGTTTGGTAGCAGCCATCCGTCTCTTTTGCCTGACCTTTCCTTTTCCCAGATGTACACATGTATATATAACTTGTTCCTCAGCCATTCTGAAACAGGGTTGTGGAGGTGCTGGAAGACATGGCCCTAGCCTGAACAGCCCTGGTTCCCTTCTCCTGACATTGGTTTGGGACTGACTTGATCCATTGAAGTGAGACCTAAACCACAACTATCGGCAAACAGCCTCCACACAACTGGGAAACAGCCAGAGAACAGCACACAAGATTACTTCCTCTGGTGTGTTGTTCACCGTGGAGAGAGAAGACAGTCTCTGTGCAAAAGAGTTCCTGCTTAGGAAAGCACCTAGTCCGTAACACAATGGAAACAGTGACTGCTAAGAGGAGTCATTACCTGAGCTATGACATCTGAGATGGAGGCACATCCCACTAGGAAGCTGTACTTGTGTTTCAGCAGAATCCCAGCATGGGTCCATGCCTGAAAAAAGGCAGAGAAGAGTTTGGGAAGTGATTATGATACTTGTGAATGATTCCAGGTCCCAGAATGCTGTTTTCACTGTACACAATGCACATTGCTGTTACATTGTACACAAACAACTTATAAAGCTCTTTTCCACCAGCAGTACCTGGTGTGAACCTGGACAAATGTTAAGCCAGTAATGCAGAGAAAGCACTGCTGCATTCAGTTCCTCATTGCCAGGGCTGACAGGGAGAATGGGAATAATTTTATAGACTGTATAGAAATTTCTGAGCAGATCTAATAAGAAACTGCCCCTTCTTCATAAAACAGATGCTGCACAGGATGGATTATCATACTAAATAATCTGAGGGAAAAAATGTTTATTCTCATTCACCAGCTGGATGCACCTCTGAAGTGTAACATTCATTGGTGCACTGAGTTATACTGAGTCCTGACTGGAAAGGAAAGCTTAATGATCCAACTTCTTTTTATTGTCAGCTACTGTTTCAAGCAGACAAAGAAAGTAGTGGAGGCATGCCATATCCTTTACCAGTTTTATACAGAAGCAGAGGCACTAAAGAGAGCTGCCATATTTTTATGTTGTGCAGGCCACAAGCAGTAAGCCTGGTGATCTGGGAAGCAGCAGCCCACACCAGGTGTGGCTCTCTTGCCCAAGCATTTGAGATATACTGGACTTAGCTGTGCTTGCAAAAGTTGATGGTAAGAAATATCTTTTCAACAAATTTGCTTTCAGAAAATATTGAGCTTATTCCTTGTGAGCTCTGCAAGTGATCTGGGAATGCATGGCAAATCCAACTCTTTCACTACAAATTGGAATGAGAAGACACATACAGACAATTGGTGCAGCTGATCACAAGACGACCAGTGCTTTCCAGCATGCACATACAGTAACAAGGCAGCTGAGATTTTTTACATCTGTTATGATCTCTGGATGTTCAAAGTCCACCCAGATGCTTTTTCCAGGTAGCAGGAGATGATGTGTCCAGGTATATCCAGAGCTACTGCTTGCAAAGGACACACCTTCCTTCTGTACACCTCCAGTTTCCCATCAGGTAACAGACTTTGTGAACTAAGATCACCAAAGGAAAAAAATAACGTTAATATTAAAATTCAGTTCTGAATCAGGCACTCACCATGGCATCCATAAAAGGGAAGGCAGCAAGATAAAGGAAGGCCCTCCGAGTTTTACTTCCCACTGATTCATCCACATGGTGCAGCTTATTAATAATGTAATACCCCAAATCACTATATGCTGTAGAGACACAAGAACAGGAATGAATAATAAAGGTTACATATGGACTCTGGGTGAGATACTCAGAAGTACCTGAAAGACCGTGACGCCTAGGGACACGCATCCACTCGGCAAACAGCTGCAGGGGCTTCGGGATGTTACAGCCTCACCAGCTGCTGTTTATGACTAAGGAGTGCTCTCATGGTTCTTTTTCAAGTAACCTTTGGCAGAGGAGTGATAACAAATGGCTGGGTTGGGAGACGGGTATAGTAAGTGCCACATCTGTTTGCTAAATGAACACACTGGTACTCCAGAAAATCTACTGCTCTTTCATTAACTCAAAGCTCTTTGTTAGAAAAGCTGTTTTCACCAGGCATTGTCTATTTCATGGGATGTAGTACCTCATAAATGCTGAAACCATCTATTGTCACTGCATTCTCATGACGTTACCTGTAAACCTGCCCAAAGCTGTAAAAGGATACTATGAATTGCGAAGGCATGCAACAAATCACACTCGTTATGCCTCTCCCCTACTCCGCCTAATGATCACCTCTGCTGGGACCTGTCAGGGCACTGCGCCCTTCACGGTACAGTCTCTGGGCAGCCTCGACCAGCCTTAGTTTCCTTCCTTATCTAGAGCCGGGAGCTACAAGTCAGAAAAGGGCACCGCTGGAAATCAGGGGGTTGCCACTTCTGATCGCCAGTATGTCATTTTGCCATCCTGTTTCAACCAAAGACGAGAATTTTTAGTGTTGGGCAACACGCCTCTGGCCAGGGCTCTCTTCCCAAGGCCTTGCGTTGAAGACAGCACAGACGCAGGGACTCACCACACAGCTCTCTAAAGAACTGCTTACCTCTCTGTTAGTACCCGTGTTATCCAGCTGTTTTAATAACCCCCGAGTCCTCCCCATGACCAGGAATAACGAAGAGCTAGCTATGACTGGAGTCTCTGAACTATGGGGACTTACATAATATGCACAGTTAAATAATCCAAATAGTTTTTAACCTTTTATAAACTATGTTCTAGACCTGCATACTTAGTTTCCTCTACACTTGTAACAGCTGTTAAAAGAATGATTAGGTTGTAAAGTCAACCTCCCAGTGGCAGAATTACTTGTGCCTGGGGAATATTACCTCAGTTCTCTTCCACTTGTGTCTCTTCTAAGACAGTTATTTCAAATGTTAACATCTATCTGATTTTCCATTTATAACAACTCTATTATCATTGTACAGACCTTCATACAGGGTATTTCAGGAAAGTTATCCTTTTCATGCATGCCGGTCATATAATCGGATTGACAAATGCTAACACTAGTCATCCAATTCAATCTTTTTAGCCTAAAAGTCTCTCTCATAATTCATAATCAGTGTTTGGAAGCAATTAACGAGGAGTTTAAGTCATCATTGTTTTGTGATGGCTTAAGGATACAGCAGTTAAATGGTTAACAGGACTGAAAAGACTTTTTCAGTCTGAACAAGACAGTGTAAACAAGGTAGTAAAATAGAAGGAGGTGGTATGACAGCACTGGGAACAGGCACGAGCCTCATTCCAGATAACCAGGACTGCTCAAAAGATGCTAAAATGTTAAAAACTCTCCCTTTCCCTATGCTGGTCCCTATCTAAATGCCTTTCATCTGAACTACTGTTAGGCTTGCAGTCTCCCAGTTCACCCAGTAATCCCCAAGTTGCTTAGCCATCTCCTGAGGCACTCCCAGACTTGTTTCCTTTTGAAAGGGGTTGGGGAAGAACTTTAAACCAGGACTCCAACCTCTCCTCAGTTCAGGGAGGCCAGTTTAGTTCTTTAAGTGTTCATGTGCTTGTTGCAGTCCAGTCACACATCAAGCACAACCTCTTTTTATTTTTGCATGAATACCCATACACCAATTTTCACTCAGTATTTTGAAAACTCTCTGTTATGCATCATTTTTGCATGGTAGGTCCTTATGGAAAGCTGCTTTTACGGCAGGGCAGCGCATGGATGTTTCTGAATTGACTTATTTGAATGAAGGAGAAGAAGTTTGGAAGGCACGTGAGTTAAGCTGCCTGTGAGGGTCAGATTCATCGAGCTGTCTCTTAGGTTCTGTTGAAGTTGCTTTACACTTCTCCTGCACAAAAACTTAAAAACTGCTGCAGGAAACACACCGGCCTTATTCCCCACATGGGGACTGACAGAATCAGAGTCGAGGTGCTGAGGAACCTGCTTCTGTGGAGGGGCCTCCACCAGCAGTGCCGTGCTGGGAGGACAGCACGCCGCAGAAGTCACTCTCCATGCTCTCCATGCACTTCACCTGCTCGGCTTCGCCTGCTTTTAAATGAGACTTTTAAAGTGTTTAGAAAGTGAGTAATAAGTAACTTTTTTGGCTCTAAAAGCCATTGAGATGTTTAAAATTTTTTTTCCAAGTTTACTACCACAGAAAAATTCACAGAATCAGAGAGGTCAGAGGGTGAACTACTCTCACTTCTAGGAACAGGCAGTTCACCACAGGGTTGTAGTTTATTGGCAGGGCACTCTCAATATACCACAGCTCACAGCACCACATTTTTAAGATTTCTAGAGGTATCAGCACTGTGCTCTGTAACCTTTAAGATTCTTTTTTCTCTCTCCCATCCAAAAAAAAGTCTAACTGCACTTTTTAATGTGATTTTGATTTTAAAATCATAATGGCTAAGCTTAAAAGCTAGTTTTAAAATAGTCAACTATTCCACATGTCGGTGAGAGCACACAATCACTTTTGCTGATGTCCATGAATGTTTCCATCCTCAGGAAGAAGGACTCAGCAAGCTGAGATTTCCTGACAAATATACAGGCATGTGTCTCTGAGCTATGAATAAAGCAATTGCTGATGCAATTAGAACTTAACCTTGGCCAACCTTACAAACTTATTATGAAGCATGGTACAAAATTAGTAACACAGACAACAGAGCTGAAGAGTATTACATGAATCTAAAGCAGATGGCTCTTCCCATTCCTTGCATCATTTCAATCAAAACAGAGAAGTCCAACTCCAAGACAAGCTGCCTGTTTGCTCTCTTCTAATACCTCATTTATTTTGGTATGTCTATGGATTACTTTTGCTATGGAATTTAAGCAGGAATTCTCGCTTTTGGCTTTTCCAGTTGAGTTTTAAGATACAGAAGCTTAAGAAACAACACTGAAAACTGCATACCTAATTGGATCTTCTCTTCCTTTTTTCCGACTTCTTTAACAAGCTGATTACTACCACATAAACTTCAGACATTCTTAAACCAACTGAACACACTCTTAATGATGCCAGCAGTCTCAAACAAATAGGTGTACCGTAGTCATTTTGGAGCTGTCTACTACCCAGCGTGTTATACTTACATCATAAAGAAAACAAAAAGAAACCCTCGTAGGAAGTGATACCATTTACTTCTAGACACAGAGCTACATATGTCAATATTAGCTTTACTGGAGGGAAAAAAAAAATCCAAAAATGTTTTTGGGTTGAAGCTTGTTCTTTTCAGATGCATTCCATTTTCATACTTCGCTGCCAGTTTTAAAAATGAACTTGGAGACTTGAGAAGTAAAAATCTATTCTGCTGCTTGTCAGAAAGATGGCTCACATGGCCAAAACTGGTGCTGGTCAGGAGTTTGTTCAGCTAAGTGATTTGGGCAGATAGCAAAATGCCAATTTGAATTTAAAAAAAAAAAAAAAAAATTAATGGCAAATCTTCATTTGGAGATGGCACAGGGTACATAGATTTCTTTATGTCTTTAATTAGCCTGACTCAAAGCAGAGCAAAAGGCTGTGTCCCCCTTGTGAAAGCCCAGATGATCAGAGTGTTTTAGGCTTTGTGATCTTTTTGCTCACAACAATAAATGAATTTAAAAAAAAAACAGCTTAGGAGCATCTCATTGCTGACTGATCACTGCAATCATCTTTTTCTGCTCTCAGCTCTAGTTCCAAAATCGCATTAGTTGATTTCCCCAAATCTATCAATGACTGTTGGTCTCTGAAATATCTTTAGGTAGGCCAACATCTCCTAAGTCTCAAAATTAGCCTGTTTTAACTAAAAACCAATCACTGCTATCCTAAAATCCACAAATGCTTTGGACATAGGCTTTTTTCCTTCCTCTTTTGCCCTGAATACCTTGCTGATAAGAAACCGCCCCTGTTGTGGGAGAAGGGTTGGGGCAGCTGGGGAAGCATGTTACTGCTTTAGCAATGGCCATCTGAAGATGCTGAAGTAGGGGACATTTTTAATGAGTAACATTTTATCACCTTTTAGAAAGAAAAAAAAAAAGCAAGCCTGGATTATATTCTGATTTGTGTTCCTGTGCTATCATCTTCTTCCAGGGCAAAATGTTTCGTATGAGCCAGTACAGTGGGCACGTCAGAATAAGACTGACTGGAAAAAACAGCCCAGGTTGTCATAAGCCACTCTGTAATTCCTAGTCTCTAGAAAGAGTTACACTGGAAGTGGTGGGTTTACACCTATGTCTCGCTTCTTATGAGATCTTTCATGTACATGCAGTGACCATGCATGTGGGAAGTTCAAAAGAATCAGTGGAATTACTAGCAACTGCTAAAGTTTTCCCCTGTGCAATCTGTGCAGGGAGTGGCCCATGCTCACTAGCCTGTCAGTGATAAATTGGCACAAAACAAATCACTCGCATGTCTTGACCATCCAGTCTGCTATAGGTTTGCTTGGTTACTAAAGTTCCAACAGTTTTTTCCTGGTGATGACAAATGATCCATCACACAGTTTTTAATCAGGCGTAGAGAGCACCAGTTAAGGATGTCTACTTAAGCAAAGAGGATGTTTCCCCAGAGTAACTTCTGCCTTGTCATTTCCAGAACCTCAGAGAGCTGTGGAAAGTAATATTAATATGCAAAAGGAAATAAACTTTCTCAGTATACTATTTCTCAGTAAACTAGTGAAAGGCTGAACAATGCTGTTTTATTGCCAAAGAAAATGTGCATGTCTTTCATGACCCTGGTGTTAAAAGGACCCACTTCGTATGGAGGGCTTACCAGCAACACCATGAAATGCATTATGTTAGCATAATGTTATATAAATGATGTATCTCCTCTGTCAAGCTGGCAATTTAGTAAGATGTCAAAAATATGCACAGACAGGCTTAGCGTCTTGAAACCCTTCTCTTACAGCCCAATATTCCCACCAAAAGCCAATGTGAAATAACGAGACATTTTAGATCCTGGCTACATAGTGAACTTCCCACCAGGAAGCCCTAACTAGTGGCAGTAGCTGCCCCCAAAATAGCACAACGGAAGGAAGGCAGCATACTACCTTCTATTTCCAGATCGCAAATGAAACAGTAAATCCAGGAGTACCGTACTGACCAAGGTTTGCAGCAGCATTGTAAGTGGGACGAAATATGGTTTCAAATCCCTTTGGTTAAGGTCAGCTTGTTTCTTGGTTCTTACTGCTACCTGTACAGGGGAGTGATAGGAACTGTTGGTGAGGACTTTGCGGACGTTCATGGGAATGTGGTGGGGTGATGACTTAGGGACCCAGACCTCGCAGCTGTGAGTTCAAGTGGTTTGGCTCAGCCAGTCACTCCCACAGAGGATTGCGTTAGCCCCGGTGGGGAAGCAGTAGTGGGGAGCTGGTGCTGAAGCAGTGAAGCATGAGTCAGGTGGGTGAAATGGTCTGTTTTGATATTTTAAATAAGTAGAGGCTGCTGTTTGTGAGGAGCTATGTGTGTAGACTGCAAATAGTCTCTATCACACTTGGAAATGTGGTGATTCACTGTGGTCACTGTGTTTCTACCACTTGTTTTCCTCCTTCTGACTTGCAGTACTCCTCCTTATTTCTTTGGGCTTTTTGTTCCCTGTTCCTTCCTGGGCTTTGACAGCCCACGACAGACAGTCATGTCATCTTCCTTAGCCCCATACACATGGCATGTGGGAGAAATCCAGTCCCTTGAGCGCTGTTTATTTCTCTTTTTCATCTGTCGAGCATCAGTAACCTGTATTTGTGTCTCCTGTAGACAGCCTGTGATAGGCTTGCAGCTGCTGGGGAGCAGTTGCAGGTCCTAGGAGGCTGCCTGTCTGTCACTGGACTCCTTCTCTTCCTCCTCCTAGGCAGGTTATGCATCTGTGGGTCAGAGAAGAATAATCAGGATTTGAAACAGGTTCAAAGGAAACTTGGAACACAAAACTTGGCAACATCACCCAAGCAATTGGTGCTAGAATCTGACTAACTCCATTCTCTCGGGCATTCTGCCAGTCTCTGCTGTGGCCTTTGCATATTTTCAGGCATAGACAAGTTAAAATACTAAAAAATATTTTGCAGTCTGCCACCATAAGCAGCTGAAAGATTGTGTGAAGCCCTTTAATTCAGGACTTTAAAGCATGGTAAGTACAGCCTTCTTTTTTCTTTTTTTCCCAATATCTGCAGAGAAGGCATTTCAGAGGTTCTGAGCTCAGCAGGGCTCTCTTTCCAGGCAAAGGCAAGAAACTTATCTGGCATGTTTTCCAACGGTTGCCCCAAACACTTCCCTTCAATAAGACGTCCCACATGGAAAATCCAGCTATGTCTTTCACCTGGAAATTTGATAGTTGCACTTTAAATTTTCTTACAATCTACTGTAGCTTAAAATAAAATGTTGGATGACTAGAAAATATTTCTTTAGCCAGCTGGCAAAGCCAAAAACTTTGACCAGTGCTGGCAGAAAAACAAGTGAGCAAATAGAAGAGCAGCTCTGGGGGCTGAAGAAACATTCCAAGCAAAGAAATATGAGAGCCAAACATACAAATGGCCCAAAGTTTATAATACTGACTCAATAAAGCAGCATCAACTATAAAAATATTGAGGAAGTGACCAATCAATACCAGTGAATTAAATTAACTTGAATGCATGGATTCAGCTTATAAAATTCGCAACAGCTTATCCCTGGCACAGAGTTGCCATGGCTAGTGAGCCATTACTGTAAGCATTTACCATGACCGTAACGTGGAGTAAAGGTAAACAGCACAGGGCTGCCCTATCGGTGGTGGAATAAGAGATGTGATGGTCAAACAAACTGGAGTGCTTGGGAGGCACATAAAGCTGGTGAATATAGCTGGCAGCCTGTTAAAGGATAAGAACAGGGGGTGTCCGTATTTACCAGATGGCTCTTGTACCTACTCTGGCAGGAACTGAAATAGTCTGGTCTATTCTATTCTATTCTATTCTATTCTATTCTATAAGCTGACCAGCAGCACGTGCTGCTCTTGAGATACTAACAGCCCGATAATGAATGGTGCCTCACTTCCAGGCCACTCTGTAATTTCACAGCAATTCCGTGTATTGCCATCACACTCACATTTCCCATCTTTCTGCTACGGAATGACCCCCTACTGCTGGTCATCCAAGTCAACCCTACTGCCTGTCAACCAACACATGCCTCCATAGGCTGTCGCATTACCTCCCTCCTCCCATCCCTTAGAGCTCCCAGCTTTTAGGATTTTACCTGTTGAATGCAATGCACTCTCTGCTTCTTCCTCCAGCATCTCCTGTTCCTCGTTGCTGAGGTCCAGAGGTTTTGGCTCTGTAGAATGAGCCAGAAGGTGCAGAGAATCTGGTGCAGTTCTCGGAGAGGATGAAGTTAAAGTCTTCCAGATCACATGGCTTTTTATTGCTGTGGCTGATGCTTGGGTTGATATCCCATTTCTCCAGGCTCTCAGAAACCGGCAAATCCTGTGGCTGCCTTACATTTTATGTTCAGTTCATTTCTGCTTGTGTATTTTCTTTGTTCCATAGTACACTCAGGGAGCTGGTCTCAGTTTGGCATAAAGTGCTCTTATTAACTACTTTTCTTACAGGCTAATTATTCAACAGAAGTAGATGATGACTAGCACTAGTAGAGAGTAACACCTGATATTTTAATGAGGATGCTGGCACCTACTTGCTCAGAGTTTTGTACTGTGGGATAAGTAGCAAAGGGATAGGTACAGAGGGAGTACACCGACAGTGCCACCAGGTTCTGTCAAGCAGCCCTATCAAGCACACCTTCAAGTCCTGCTAAACCCATTTGGGCAGATACTGCTAGGTGATCGTCACTACCTTACCGTAAGACTGAGTTATCAGTTTCATGCAACCTGTCAACCTTGCCAAAGTTTTGCTCACACACCGACTGAAAGAGACCAGCAGCATGTTTTGCTGGCAGGCAGGAGAGCCCTGGGGGTGGAATCTGCCACTTAACAACCTGTTTAAAAAGTCATAAAAATTGTGTGGATGGGCATGATACTAGCCCAAGAGATTTAATCTCTTTTGCATCTCCTGTTGCACTTATAAATGAAATCTTAAGCCTACAGATTAATCAGTTTTGAAGAATAGGCAAGGGAAGCAAATTAAAAGACATATCAATTAGATGTGAAGTGGCCTTACCTATTAAGGTATGAAATACAGCAGCTACAGCGCCAGCCACAACCATGCACAAAACTGCTTTGGTCCTGTCTCGCTTGCTGTTCACAAACACCAGACCTACATTTTTGAAGTCACTCATCGGACCCGTGAAGAACTTCATCAGGGAGTATGCCAGCCCATAGCTGGCCAGCATTTCCACAGCATCTTCCTTGACAGCAGCGATGCCCCTATTCAAGGCCTGTTGAAACACAGAAAAAAAAAAATGTAGCACATGGGGAAGTGTACCAAAAACAACCTTCTGCAGCTGGTTTCTGAAGGAACAAGCAAGTTCAGCTCTCATTGTTTTCACCCCGAGTTGGACCTCATTTCAGCAGCAGTAACTTATAACTTGTGACACAGGCAACTTCGTAATTTCATATGGACAGTAAATTCAAGTCAAGTAGACTTGAAGATAAAGTAAATATCTATTTCTATAGTATATACAGGAACTCCTGCTATACCAGAAGTCAGTCTCTTTCCTTTTTAGGGTAATTTTATGATCTGCTAATAATCATGGATGATACAAGACCATTTAAATGTCGCTTTGAGGCCCAGCCCTGAACTGAACAAAGCACAGTCCTTGCAGGCCGTTTTTACAGGTAAAAAATCTGACATTATATGCTGAAATTTCAGGAGCTTGAACTTTTTTTTCAGTGTAATGAGCTTTTCACTACATCCCATGTAATTGTTGTGAATAGCTGATATTCTCCTATGATGTTTATTATGAAACTAGGCCAAATATGCATGTGACTAAACATAGCTGTTCTCCTTTCATATATTTAACAAGGTTCTGATCCTATATTCATTTATATCTCCTTGTAGCATGTTTAAAAAGAAATACAGCACATGCATTCCAAGACATATTCAGGTTCAACTAACCTACTAATTCATTCTAGGTCTGTATTTAGGAAATGTCTGCCAATGAATCACTGAGAATTAGACGGATTATTTTTATAACTAAGGTGAACCATAGAAAAAATGTGTAACGTTGCTTCAGATTCCAGCTTGCACCAAAATGCTTCTAAAATATTGAATAAAAATGACAGAATGATAAATTTTATCTGCAGTGTGACAGCATCAATCATCTGGTATACCCAGCAAACTGTTAAAACAAGATTAGATTAAAAAAGCATGAAGGATGAAAAATGACTTGTTTTCACAAGTATTCAGTTCCTATGGGTTACAGCTGATGTGTACTGACAGGGCCATGGCAATGAGGCCAACCAGGAACATCTCCCCAATCCACCCTCCAAATCTCAGTCTATCCACTTACACAGCAGTTGTAATACTGCTTTTTCTGAATGAACAAACCAGGCAGAGTACCATCAGGTAATCATCATGAAGTCCTTCCATTTGAAATGTAAGCACAGTCTTTTTGTTGCAGTCTTTTGATTTTTTTTTTCCCTTCCAAAGACCATATAAGCAAGCAACTCCCACTGACTTCAAAAGAAACCGCATCCCCATAGCAGAAATGAGTATTTTTCCTACTGTTCTTTTCCACTCTTTCTGTGAGATGTGCGTAATTTTGGAAACTAAAGCTGCACTGTCAACATAGCAAAAAGCTATGTTGTAGAAAATACCAACTTCTCCATCCTTGATATCTGCCAAATCTCCCTCTTGCAAAATGCTCTGACCTGAACACCTGAGGCTCCAAATGTTTTCATCTGTCTTGCTCCAGTTTGTCCCTTCCTGAAAATACCATGTGGATATGGAATATCTGCAGCTGCTATATGCAACCTTTTCTGGGGTATAGATAATTCCATCTATTGCATCGATAAGAGTTCAAATTATATTTAATCTGCAGATGCCAAAACCACTAGTGGGTGCATAAAACTGTACTCAAACAATTTGCCAAAAACAGTGTGGCCTCTGAAATGAATAGTCAAGTTTAGCTGTCTTTTGTGATGATGCTTGTGATAATGTTGTAATTGATATCAAGGTGTATACAGAGTTATAATCTTTTCATTTAAACTTCCTAAAGATGCTGAATCTTCCTGTTGCTGTTGCCAGTAATAGGCAAAGAGCCTTAGATTATATGATATAGAGGGTTCCTTGATCATGGCTTTTTCCCCCTTCTTTTTTCCTGTAAACAGTGAAATATTTCTGGCAGCTTCAATTTAAAGAGAAACAGCTAACCCTTTTCAGGTAGTCTGATTTAAAAGCTTCTCATCACGTATAAACAGCTGAATTATTTCCAGCCCAGTTTCACAAGCACAAGCGCTTACTTCCTGGTTTGGACAACTACTGAATACCAGAGTCTGTGGAGGACGGGAAGCCACTTCTAACAAGGTCCCTGGGATAAACGTGGCTTTAAGAAATTCACATTCTGTCAAGAGGCACGGCACTACGATCCCTCTGCAGAGAGACAAATCTTCATTGAGCACAGTCCTCAAGCCAGTGAAACTAGCTCCCTGTGACTCTGGCCCTGGGGTAACTAAGTTTTCCACCCAAATAGGACAGATGGAAAGACTTGAGCACTCCTCTTTCTCGCCCTCTCTGGTTTTACAGGCTGAACTCTGATCTCTTGTGTGAACAAATGACAGCCAAGTAGATACTCCGGAGTAATTTTCCCCAGAGACACACCGTGTTCCAGGTAAGATAAACTGGCAAAATCCAAAAGGGACTTTTGTAAGAGGTTTGTTGCCATTAATTTATACTCCCGTGGAACGGTTGGCTGACGTGACGAAATACACTAGAGGCTAGCCCCGAAAAAGCAATCCTCCTAAATGCTTCTTTGGAAAAATCCTTAGGAAATGAACAGTCAACAGGACTGTGTACAGATTGTTTAGCTTCTGCAGTTTTCTTTTTCCTTTTTCACTTTAAGATGATAATGCAAAAGGTTCTTCATCCTCAACTTCCAAACACTACATGAGAACTTGTGTAGCTTTTCTACCCCATGTACCTTAGAATATTTTTTGCTACTGAAGCTGCTGATGTGATATTTGATGTCCTTAAATCCACAAGAAATCAAGATACTTGATAAAGCTGCTTTCGGGTGCAATATAAAAGACACAGGCACTTGATCTTTCATGGCATGCCAGCCATGCAGCTGGTAACGTTCCAGTCTAATTTACTGCTAGATTTCCAATTAAATCTCTCATAAAGGAAGAAAATTATAAACCAGGGCAAGGTCTCCATTTTTTTATCTGACTCTTTTGTACACTTTTTGTGCGAACAAAAATCAATAACAGAACTTCATCAGTAACATCTGTATTCCATGTTTGTTTCACACACAATAGAGCACATCTCTACAAAGATTTGTGTAGCTTGTCAATGAAATCACACAGAACTAAGTAGTAGTAATAATAATAATAATAATGACAATATGAGAAGTTAGCTTGATCATATATATTTCAGATGTCATCCTACTTTCAGCTGGCTTATTCACTACAAACTTGAAAGGAGAACTAGGAAATCCAGATGCTGGAAGAAAAACTACTGGTAATGGCACCTTCTCCTGTGTTTTTAATGAACAGCTAACCTAATATGGTAGTAGGTGAAAATGTCACAGTAAATCGCTATTCATCAAACATGATTAAAACAAAGCCACTGACATTGCTGACCCATCTTTTAGAAATAACAGAAAAAAGCACACAATACTTCCAGGCTGAGCACGATCTGGTAGGTACACGAATAGGTTAGTTGAAATAAGTCATATTCGTAAAACACTTCTCAAAAAGGCAGGCACCAAGATCTACAGCTACTTCTACGCAACGTCTTCTATAACACATTATGTTATCACTAAAAAGATGAAATCTTTACTATAGGACCTGGTAACAACTCCTTGAGCCTTTTTTTATGAATAATTGTATGCTGTCTCTAATGTTCACTCTAAAATCAGAGAGGACTAGCATTATTAAATTCCCATCCAAAAGATTCAAGTCAGAGGAATACCAAATAATACATTTAATGACATTTCAAGCCAGCAACCACATCTTTACAATTGGATACTGCAGCTGGCTTTATCCTCTTAGAAGGAACATATGAGACCTCTATCAAATTTCGAGGACATGCATAATGGATGAATCTAACAAACTTTTGCATGCAAAGGCAGTGATTTAAAAAGCAACAATTGTGAGCAAAATGTCAAGGGTCTAGCTTGTCCTATTTTGCATGAGCTTTCAGCACTATTCACTAATGTTGGCAGAAAAGGTTTGGTTCCAATCTACAGCTACACACCTCTGTTGCGAAAAATTCAAAGTCTGTCTCTTAAGCTGGTTCTATAGAGTTTGACCATTTCTCACATGATCCTGCCCTTCCAGAGACTACTGGATGACTCATGTTTTATTTATTGGATTAGCCATATAAAAGCATAAAAAAATCCACTGAAAAAGCCACACCTATTGATACGTTTTCTTCTGCTTTTAAAAATGTTTTATTACTTACGTACTGCATAGAATTTCAATAGTCTATATCTAACATTTTCTACTTCATTTGAAGTTAACTATTGACTATGCAGTCAATACTTGACCAGTGCATGTGTTTCAAATAAGAGTAAGTAAAATCCAAGAAATGTAATTCTTGTCAGTCCTCAATTTTGCTTATCCTGGAAAAGCAGATTGTGACCTAGTGGAAACTGGCATGTTCCTATGGCTTCTTCAGTTTGAAGCTCGGATTCTGCCTGAGCTGTTTTCAAGTCTGTTCCACCTAGTTATCTACCTAAGGGTGACATCAAAAACCTGCTCAATTTGGCAGTAACTTGGCCAAAAGTATGTTCGGTTCAGCGAACATTTGTCAGATGTCCCCCCTCCCCCTACATCTTTCTTCCTACCTGCCCTCCCCTAAGAAAATGGAAGAGAGCCAAAGTATCCAGTTAAAGAGCAAGCTAACGTAGGGGACAGTCTTTCTCCTGTGTCAAATAATCTCCCTCCTGATGATCGTTGGCTGAGTTTTCATTTACTAAATCCTGTCAAATTGAAATCTTCAGCATCAAATGTACCAGCTGGCTCTGGCTGTTCTGCCTCCCCCTGTCATCAACTGCACTGCCAGAAGGACACCTGACAGATCCGATGCTCTATAAGCACGGCATAATCAGACCACTGTGTCGGTGCGACCTGAGCGTTACCCCATCTGCGTCTCCGCATCTGGCTGGGTTTCTTGTAAAGGCAGGAGCCACTGGTAGGCAGTTTGAGGGAAATAGCTAGTGCTCTGTGTAAGAATTCCATGGATGTAGACATAGAAGGAGGAGAAAATGGGGTAAAAATACATTTATTCCGGCTCAAGAAGATTGCCCAAACATAGTGTATGAAGAGATAGCCCTGAAGGGGTAGAAGGAGTCTGACCTTGTAGCTTGAAAATGAT